GTGCATTTGCTTGAGAAGCGAAGGGGCTAGTCAGAAGCTTCCTTTTTGGAAATCCTCACTCTCTTGGAGTCAGTTTTGTTCTGAGTCTTCTTTTCCCAGAGAAGGAAAATATGTCAAAGAGAGAAGAGTGGTTTGGTTTCTTGGATATCAACTGCTCTCAGCTGCAACTAACTGAAACCTGACTCATAGTGGCCTGAACAATGAGGTTGTTATTATCCTCTTAATGGCAGGCTTTGGGTGACTCTGGCCCTGCTTCTCTCTGATTTCCTCTTCTGTGTCTTGTTCACGTCCTCAATATGCTTCCCTCATGGTGACAAAATGGTTGTGGCAGTTTCAGACTTCTTACCTGCTAACTGGAGAAAGAGGGGTATCTTGCCTGTGGCTTGTCCCCTAAGCTTGAGGAAGCATCTTTTCCCTCTGCCCCTGCAGAACTCCCTTGTGGCTCACAGGGGATGCCCTGTACTGATTGGCTCAGCTTGGCTTTCTGAACCAATCACTGGGGCCAGGGATAGGACTTCCTTTAGGCTGTTAGGGCCTACCCTAAAGCTTGGGATGGGGTCAGGTTTCCCTGAAGCACTTGGGATTATGAGATGGACAATGGTGAGCTACTTTTAAGAAAGAAGAAAGGGGAAAGGATGCTGGGGAGGCAAGCCCTTGTCCCCAGATCATACCAGCCTTAATGTTAGTACCTGAATTTCATTGGCTCAGAGTTCCCTCTGCAGTGTTGTAGGACTTTTTCCCAGTTCCCCCTCTCCGCTTCCCCCACACAGCTTCCCTCAGTTATTCTGGGAGCCCTGGCAGTCCTGCCATGTTCATCTGCTCTGGTCTCCTTGCTGAGGTCTGACACCTGAAGACCCCTTGAGGCAGGGGCCCACGACTATTCCCTGCTGCCCTTGCTGTTCTCTTGGGCACCATATGCTCTCCCAGTGCTCTGCCAAGCACAGCTCTTCTCTGCTGAGGGCGTCTTGGTGGTCTCAGGGAGTAGAGGAGAGTGTCCCTCCTGGTCTGGGCACATCTGGGCAGGGGACCAGTTCCTTGCCCCTCCCCCCACCTTGGGCCACTCTTCTACCCCCTGTTCTGTAGTCAAACATCAGAAGACCCCCTGCATATCCACTGTCCTGTAGCCAGTCTTGCAAACCGAGTTCCGGGTAGATTGGGATGGAGCCACCTGGTGACAGTTACTCTGGGGATTCTCTGCCTCAGTGGAGGATGTTAAAAGAGAGAATTCCTCTCTTGGGCCTTTGAGGCTCACCAGCTGTTGACGGGTTTGTTTCCACCAGCTGCTGCGATTTCTGTCTCTTCCCTGGTCCTTTCCTCTGGGGGCAGAGGAAACTCATCGGACGGGTCCTTCAGCTTGTTCCTCGCAGGAGCCAGGAGAGACACCAGGGCCTGTGTTCACTCTCTTTTTTTTTTTTTTAAATACGTGTTTTAGGTAAAAGTTTACAGAGCAAATTAGTTTCTCATTCAACAAATTGTACACAAAATGTAACACGACATTGGTTGAAATCCCCACACTGTGTCAACACTCTCCCCTATTTCTGCCCTGGATTCCCTGTTTCCTTTCCACTGGTTTTCCTACTCCCTCCTTCCTTCTCATCTTTACTTTTGGGCAAATGTTGCCCTTTTGGTCTCGTATAATTGTTTGTTCTATGGAGCACGTTCTTTTCGGGTGTTATTGTTTATTTTATAGGCCTGTCTATTGCTTGGCTGGATGGTGGTTTTGGGGAATGGCTGCAGTTCCAAGTCAGAGTGGTGTCTTAGGGCCGTAGTCCCGGGGGTTCCTCCATTCTCTGTGAGGTCAGTAAGTCTGGTCTATTTTTGTGAATTTGATTTTTCTACATTTTTCTCTCCCTTTGTCTGGGTCCCTCTATTGTGATCTCGATCAGAGTGGTTATAGTGGTAGCTGGGCATCATCTAGTTCTTCTGGTCTTGGGGTCATGTAGGTTGTGGTGCACGTGGTCTGTTAGTCCTTTGGACTAATTGCTCCCTTAAGTCTTTAATTTGCTTCACTCTCCTTTACTCTGGACAGGAAGAGACCGCTAGTTGTATCTTAGATGGCAACTTGTAAACTTTTAAGACCCCAGATGCTACTCACCAAAGTAGGATGTAGAACATTGTTTTTATGTGCTATGTTATGCCAATTGACATAGATGTTTCCTGAGTCTACGGCCCTTAGTTTTCAAGCCTAGTATCTTTGTCCTGGGAAGTGTTTGGTTGTGCATAAGAAGTTTCCATCACTATGCCCCTTGTGTGTTCTGTTGTTTACTTTAGAATACATACAACATCTACAAATATGTATGTAGAGCTCTCCACACCCTAACTTACATCGTGCGCTCCCTTACACCCTCCTGTGCCTCTTTAGCATAGCTGTCTACCTATGTACCCCTCGTAAATTAGTGTCCGCTAGTACTGTTGTTGCAGGATCGTCTGTGTTACAGCAATGGCCGTAGTTGCCCTTTGTTCCTGGGCTGTGTTCACTCTTACGCTCTTTCTTCCTACCTCTCTTCTTTCTTGCTTTTTTTTTTTTTTAGTTAACACAATAAATACGTAGTAATAACCTCACCTCTCATTTGAGAACTAATACATTGTTAAAATTTGGAAAACAGAGAAAGGAATAAAGAAAAAAAATTCTCCCATAGTGCTACAGCTCAGAGAAAAGCACTGTTTACCTTTTGGTGTTTTCTTTCCCATCTTTTCAAAATATGTGAGTGACTACTTAAAATATGGTCGAGGTCATACTAGTTATCCTATGTCATCGTTAGTTGCTGCCAATTAAATTAAAAAAAGAAAGAAAATACCAGCTTAGCAGGTGAAATATTGTAGCTTTTTGTTTTAATTAGCATTTCTTTGAGTATCAGTGAGGCCGAGTGCTCTTCTCTGACATCTTTGAACCATCCTTTTCTGTGAGTTGTCTGTGAACACTGTTAAAGATCGATATACGTAGTGTTTTCCGTATGATGGTGGAGTTTTCTGTGTAATCTCTCTTCTTGTGCCGTATTTACCACAGATATGCCTGCCAGTTTGCTGCTTGCCTTGCAAGAATATGTTTGAAGCCTTAAGTTTGGTGTGCGAAGGACCTTTGGTCTAGTCCTGACTCTGGCCTTTCCTGGGCTTGGGACCTCAGGAAAGCTACGGAACCCCCTGAGCCTCAGTTTTCCCTTCTGTAAAATACGCGGATGGTCCCTGCCCCTGGGGAGTGCTGTGAGGATGTGAGGAGTCTATCCATTTGAAACTCCTGATTCAGGGGCCCAGCACTTAGGGGCCACTAGGTTCTCCCTGAGGGCTTGGAAAGGAAGATGCTGCATAGTGGCAGAAAAGCTGCATTCTCCTCTTACCTTCTTTCGTTTCTCCGCGGGTTGTGGATGCGAGATGTTGGCGGGGGAGCAGCTCTGAGCCAGTGGGGTCCCTGATCGCCCCTGCCCTTTCTGTCAGAGCAGTAATCACAGTCTCTGTGTGCAGGGGCTGCACAGACCCCTCCTCCTCTCAGGACGCCTCCTCAGGCCTGTCCTGGGCCCCGCAGGGTGGTGAGTGTGTGCGCAGGACCCATGCTGGCAGAGTTGCGATGGAGGGCTTTATGTGAGTGGCTGTTGCCCGTCTGTGTGCTGGTAGGGAGGCTGTGGGCTTCAAATCTGAGTCCTGAAGGCTGAGCCCAGAGTGTTTTGGGCAGACAGGGTGGTTAGGGCAGGCTGGGGAGGGGAACAGCAAGAGCAAAAGCTAGGAGGTGGGAAAATTGCAGGAATAGGCATGAACAAGCATGAGTGCTGGGAGGAGAAGCTGGGAACCACAAGGGCCTTCTGGGCTGTATAAGGGGGTCAGCCTTTTTCCTGTGGCAGTGGGGAGGTTTGGGAATCTTTTTATTTCTAATCCTCATGTAGGACTTTAGTAAAGGTAAAGAACACTACAGTATAGCAGGAGAGAGAAAGCGAGGCAAACATCAGCGAGGTCTGGGATTTCCTGGCACAGCTCCGGCAGTCCTTCCTTGGGTACACAGGGAGCGCTTGTCTTTAGATAGTCATAGCCCCTTGCCCTGAGGCCTTCATCCTAACTCTTCACTGGACACCAGCTCCAGGTGCAGACTGCAAAGTCCAGGTCGGTGCCAGCCAATGTCTGCTAGGCTCTGCTCCAATGCAGCACGGCCCTGTGCCGTGATTGCTGCCCAGGGTCCCGGTGGTCATTGCTCCATCTTTCTCAGGGGACAGGCTTGAAAATCCCTTTCTGTGTTTGTAATTCAAGTCTGAAATGAATTTTCCCACCAAGCAGTGTCATGACACTTCCTGCATTAACACCACAAAGCACCCTAGGCAGCGAAGGTCAGGGATGTTCAGAGTCCTTGTGTTCTGACCACTCCTATTCACCCTTGGCAAAGGAAGGCTCGCCCACTGTAAATTGTATGAGATGACTGAACACATGACACTGGACAGCTGAGACTGACAGCAGGTTATTAGTCACATATACTCACAGCCAGGGAGGAGGACTCCACACACCAGGCAGAGCCACACAGGAGTTGCACTTAGGAGCAGAGTGAACCAGCAGGGAGGTGGCAGGCAGACTTTGTAGCAACAAGAGGGTGGAGTGCCCCCTGGTTCCCATGGGAGGATGTGATGGGCTTATTTAAGTACTTTCGTGGGCTGGCAGGGAAATGAAACCCTTAGGATGAGGACTAGGTGGAGTGCAGCTGATCCTGCTGACAGGAACTAGTTGGTGGGGAGCCTTTCCTGCTGGGTGGGGATATATTTGGTGAGAGGAGGGGACCTCATGGTTAGGTCTTTGGGGCCCTGTGAGGCTCAAAGATGTCAAGGCAGCACTTGAAATCTTAAGTCTCACAATGCATCTTGTCATCCCTACACACCTAGTATTGCCTGTATTACACTCTGCCATGGTGCTCTTGGTAATACTCTTTCGATGAAAATGATCCCCAGATCCTTTTGGGGAATAGTGCAGCCCAGCAACTTTCTCACGGGTGAGTAAAGCCCCAACCATGATGCGTTCTCTCACTGCAGTGGGAAGATGCCTGAAGTGGACTATGTGGTTTTGTCAGAATGGTTTGACTGGATTGTGAGGAACATCGACGTGTCTGTGGACTTGATAGGTAAGACCCCCCCACCCCCACCCAAACCTTCCTCCCGGGGCTCTCCCCTGAGCCTGAGCGAGACTGTGCTTGGCTGGGTCCCAAACCAGCAGGGGCAGCAGGCAGGACACTTGCCATCAGTGATTCTTTCCCCAAATTAATCCAACCTTCTCCCCAAGGGCAGACAGGGTTTGGGAACAGAACCCGGACATTTCCTGGGACCCACTGTGTGCCAGGCCCTGTGCTAAGCTCTATGTGTGGATCTCATCCAGCCTTATAATGACCCCTAAGACACTGCATAGATACAGAAAGGGAGCAAAAGTCAGGGGATGAGGGTCGGTGTACCTGCTGGGCCACACAGCCAGTCAGTGGTTGAGCTGAGTGCCAACTGCAGCCTGTCCCTCTTGGTGCTGCTGGCAGATGTTTCTCTCCACCCCTGTACGTGTGCCTTCCTCCTTCCCTTCCTCCTTGGCTTTTACTTCTAAGCCAGGAGCAGAGTCATTAGAGCCATGTGTTTTTCCTTTACCTCAGTTTATCTCCGGACCACTCCTGAGACCTGTTACCAGAGGTTAAAGATGAGATGCAGGGAAGAGGAGAAGGTCATCCCACTGGTAAGAGCCCTATCCTCCGTTAAAGACCAACCAGGAATGCTTGTCCATTGGTCTGGCTTTGTCTCCTGACCCCACCCACCATGAGATCATCGTGCTGTGGCGAGAGAAACAGGAACTAAGCATATCAGTTGTGGCGAGAGAAACAGGAACTAAGCATATCAGTGGTAAACTCTGAATTTCCTCTGTAGCGGGAGACCCATGCCGACAGTCAGATCTGCTTCACTTCCTTTGGTCCCTGACTCAGGACCGGAACTGCCATGCTCAGAGCTGTCCCCTCCCCTCCTCCCTAGGTGTCACCAGGGCTTGTCCATTCCACCTCCTGAAGGGCTCTTGATCTTGGCCTTCCCTCTGGATCCTCACTGGAACGTGGGTTCCAGGGGACAGGGCTGTGCCTTCTCACTCACTGCCACATCCCCAGTGCTCAGAGCAGGGCCTGATGGACGTGGTGCTCAGCTATATGTGCTGAGGGGAGGGATGCCCTCACCTGCCTCTCTGGGTTGTGGCTTAGGGCACATGGACTCTAGTCAGGGCTATGGTAACAGGCTCTGGACTGCTCTCTTTGCCCTGGGTCCTTCACCAGCCTCAAACACTGCTGCTTGGGGCATGTTTCCATTGAAGACCACTACCCATGCAGTCTCCCAGCCTAAAACCTGCAGTGCCTAGACAAATGCCCTTGTCTAGGATAAAGTCCCCTCTTCATAGCATGGCATATGGGGACCTGCATGACCTGGCCACAATTGTCTCTCTGGCTTTATCTCCCTCCAGTCCAGCCATAAAGAACTCATTACAGCCATACACACACACATATAACACACACACCACGGAATGTGACACAAATGAGCCTTTCCAGTGCCTCCAAGGTGCAGCTCAGACATTGCCTCCTCCAGGAAGTCTTCCCTGACCTCCCCTCCATTGTGCTCCCCCAGCCCCTGGGTTTATTGTGATCACAGCCCTTAGGACAGCAGACTGAAATTGTTTGTGTATACATTTGATTCCCATCCCCCACTAAACTCTGAGTGTCTTAAGATTAGATCTTATTCCTCTCTGCTTCCCCAGCATGTGTCCCAGGGTCTGGCACCTGGTAGTTGTCCAGTTATAGGGAACTGAACACCCTGTGTGGGAAGTACACAGACAGAGGAGGCTGGGCAAGCACCTAGTAGGACGTCATAGGACTCCAAGCTCAGGATGGGCTGGGCTTGGGGTCCTGGAAGGCCTGCCCACCTCCAGAGTCCCTGCCCAGCCTTGTTTTGAACCTGTCTGGCATCAGCAAGGTAGATTTCAGCCATGAAGGCCAGGCTTCGCTCTGGGCAGCTCCTCTGGAATCCAGGACATGGGTGATTGGAGGGAGGAATGCAATGGAGCAGGCCTGGCCATGCTGTGATGGACACAGCAGCTCTGCATGGTCACCCAGATGTCCCCAAGAAACGCCGTGGCTGGCATCCCTCCAAGCTGTTATGTAACCTATTGTTAACAGTTTTGACAAAGCCTACGGGACAAATCTGTCCCATCACTGAGGTAGAACTTGGTGGCGGACGAAAAGGTGCTGGTGCAGTTTGCATGAGATCTTCTGGGCTGGCAAGCAGAGCTGCTGAGGAGGTGTCCGTGGGTGGCCAGGAGCACCTGGGCCTGTGTGGGGAGAGTGTGTCGTCCCGGCCTGCCCAGTGCGGATGCACAGGTGGCTGATGGGCATGTCCATGCCCCTCTCCCCTTGAGTTCCACCTTGCCAGGCTTTCTGAAGTCAGTGGTCTTGAGGATCCAAAGGTTACGCATTGTCTGGTGGAGGAGAAACAGGATGGAGTAGGGCTTCCCGGCCAGCGAGTGTCTCAGTCCTCTTGGTGGGAAGGACAGAGGGAGAGGAGGGTTCAGAGGCTTCCCAGGGCTGCCACACTCAGGGTCCACATGTGATGGTAGTGGTGGCTCACTGCTGGAGAAGTGGCAGTGAATGGGAGAAGCCGGAGGAGAGGGCCCTGCCTTTTGACATGGTGTTGACTCAGGCCCCTTTCACAGGCCAGCAATTCACGTTTGTGAAACACAAAAGGAGCAGAGTTCAGGGCGCCGGAGGTGGTGCTTCTGGCTGCTGTGATGCAGGGCCTGGCCCTTGGTGGTGTGCAGCCATGCTGAGTGCTGCCCATCTGAGTCAGGTTGGCTGCTGCAGGGCTCCTTTGCCCAAGTCACTGCCCCGTGGTCATGGACAGCTTTGCCCCAACTGCCCACCCTTTGGCAGAAGAGGTTGCTCCCCTCCCTGCCCCCGATAGCCTGTTCTTGCGCTGTGGTTTCGCCGCAGGAATACCTGGATGCCATTCACCAGCTCTATGAGGAGTGGTTCCTCAAAGGAAGCCCCTTCCCTGTGGCGGCCCCTGTCCTGGTAAGTCAATCTCCCTTACAGGGCGGGGGACTTTTCCAGAAGGAGGAGTGAGCCGGGAAATGTCAGCCACTCTGCAGACTGGGGTGGGGTCCTTAAGAGCTCGAAAATCTGGAAAGAGGAAGGTGGGTAGGATGGGAAGGGCTCTTTCTCCCTTGTGGTCGCCATTTCTGGACTAAGTCTCAGAGTGAGTTGGAGAGATCCGAGAAAAGGTGATCTGTCCCAGGGTTATTACACCCGGCGACCACTGTAACCTCTCACTTACCTGCAACGCCAAGGAAAGAATGTTCCAGAAGCTTCTAGATCTGGGCTTTGGTTTTAACCATTTGGGATGGTGGTGTTTCCGATGTGACCTTCCCTTCTTCAGTGGATGACACAGAGCCTCGGGTCACCATTTCTTGATGACTCAGGGTCATCAGGAGGAACATCGGTTGCCGTTCTGGGCTGTGACACAGTGATGCCCTTAGGAGGTGCTGAGGTGTGTCAGACTGTTTGCCTTAGACAACTAATGTCTCTGAGTTCCCATGTTTGCTTTTTATGGTAATCCTCCTTTCTCTTGCTGACACTCGTCACTTGTAACTGACAGTAATGTGTCTACCCTGTCGGCGTTTCCTCGCTTCCCATCCCCTCGTTCTCTGACTTGCTGTTGCCAGGTCGCTTTAGGCAGGCAGATGGATACCTGCGATGGTTAGAGTGTGTGCACAGAATGGGATTCCAGGAGGGCCTGCACAAGCTTCTGTGCATGGTTTCGGGGATGTCTACTTGGGCTGCTCACATGCGCTTTTACTCACGGCTCATCCAGGCAGTGAGGTTGCTGGAAAGTGAGATGTTACTGTAGTGGATTTTTAAAGAAGCAAAGTTCATTTTTCCCCTTCATTATAGAAAATTGGATGATATAAAACAGTGAGAAAAAAAAAATCATTCACTGCAGGGACAACTGTAGTGGATTCTTAAGTGAAAATCTAGTTGCGAGTATAGACTTGACCTAGAACAGCCAGCTGTTTGGCTCTAACCTTCCTTTTCACCTGCTTGTGACCTTGAGCTGCTCTGCCTTTCTGTGCCTCCTCCTGCCTGCCTCCATCCCTTCTTCTCTGTCTGTGAAGAGAGGGTGAGACTCAGGTCAAGTGCAGCTCTGTGACCCGTGTGTTTAACTTCCAGGTGATTGAGGCTGATCATGACAGGCAGAAAATGTTAGAACTCTTTGAACAAAACCGGGACCGAATCTTAATGCCAATGAATCAGAAGCTTGGTCTGTAGGATGGGACAGGACCACAGGAACATGCCAGAAAAATGCCTGCAGCTGCCAAGTTAGCTATTAGGAGCAATTTGGAAAAATCTACTCTTGGGAGGACTGTATGTCTGGCCAGATTTATTTGCCTAATGGCCTTTTCTCCATTGCCAGCATCTTCGTCTGGGGTCTCTGGCCCTCGTGGTCAATGACACATGGGACCAAGGGGTTTGTTGTGCCTTTTGGCACTTACAGCTAGTGATGTCACTAGAATCAGTGTCACCCAGTGTGGTAACTCATGATGTCATACCCACCCAACCCCTGCCTGAGGTAGGCGAGGCCAGCCAGCAAACTCCCCCCATAATAGGCAGAGTGGCCGTGCCCTGCCCCACCCCCATGCAGGGCCTAGTACTATGCTGTGTGCCCCACCTCCCATGGCATCCCTGACGGCTCCCTGCAGCTCCTACCCTCTCCCATTGGCCAAGGTGGAGACCCTCCTCTCTACCCAATGGTGGGCATCATGGCCCACCTGCCTGCACCCTGACTGGTGGGAGATGTGTGTGTGTGTGTGTGTGTGTGTGTGTGTGTGTGTGTGTGTGTGTGATGAGTTACTGTATTGGGTGACACCAACCCTAGTGACTGGCAGGTGAGGTTAGGTGGTGACGAGTTACTGCACTGGGTGACCACGGGGTGACACCAACCCTAGTCACCATACTGCCTTGGCAACCTCTCTGCCGGCAGCAGCAGCCCGCCAGCTGCTGCTGCCTCCGTGGATCCTGGCGTCATTTTGGTGTCACCCCCCAACTGTACCCCACTAGTGACACCACTGCTCATAGCCTTATGTTTCCCCGGTTCCTCTCCTGGTGGCTTCCCACTGCCGGGTTCCTCTAATTAAGTCGTAGGAAGAGCCACCTGCTCCTGAGCACCTGCCATGTGCCCCACATCATGCGGGGATCTGTCTCCTTGTCATCTCTGTCCCTTCAGCCCATCCAAGAGGCTGAGGTAGTGGTCTGACATCCCAGGTGGGGAGGCTGGAGCTCAGGGAGGTAAAGGGCCTCTCCAGGGCCGCACAGCCAATGTGCAGTGGAGCTGGCAATGTTCAGAGTTTTGGCCAACCCAAAGCTGGTATCCTTCTGCCCTGGCTGCCTCATCCTGAGAGCCATCCCCGACAGCCCTGCTGTTCTCTGCTGGAGACCCTCACGTCTGCCTGGGGAGAGCCCACAGTGCCAGAGCCAATACCATCATTTTCTCATTATCTGAGGAGCTCTTGAAGCAATCAGCATTTCTAGACTTTCACAAAATTGGGCTGTGTTTGGCCTGAGCCTGATGTTCAGTGGTTTCCCAGCATGAAGCTATTGCAGCATTTACCACTTCATCATCGGGACGTCAATGTCCTTAGAAGAATCACGTCTGTGTTCCTGAATGTGCTTGGTCTCCTTGGTGACGAAGGTCCTGCTTGAGCTGCTGCCAGTTCCATGTCAGTGAAACAGCATTTGGCGCCTGGCTGGTTTGCCCAGTGCCAAGCTGGGGCAGGGGGCGGCCAGCCCTGGCTTCCAAGACTCCCAGACTCTGGAGTCCTTGTGTGAGGAGCCCTGCCCTTGAAATTACTGAGTGTTTGTGGCCCGGAGGAAGAGAGACACAAGAGGCCTTAAGTCTTTGAAATGATTTTCCATCCAAGGGGATACCTCGGGTCACAGAGTATGAAGCCATCTCTGCTGGTTCAGAGGACGTCTTGGCTTCACTCAGCTGTGACAGAGCACCAAAGACACAGCTGTCTCTTGAATCAAGTAGGCAGCAGGAGAAAGGAAGAACATGGCTTTTGGGGACAGTCTGGACGGGAGAGTCAGAGTTTGCAAACAGACTGTTGAAGCATTGGTGCTCCTGACGTTTTGGGGGTGGGTGGAGGGACTGCAAGAAAGCTGGTTGCAAACATAAGGAAAGGTCAGTGGTGGACTTTGGAGAGCTATGCACAGGCTTCTCCGGCAGCAGCTGGCCATAGATGAAGGGGCGAAGGCCACCCTCACCCTTGGTGTGAGGGTTGGGCACCTGCGCATGTGACGCTTTGACTCTGCATTGGTGATAGATGCCCCGGGGTCAGTCCTGAGGAAGTCTGAGCGAGGGGGAGTGCTAGGTGGTCAGGGCCTGGCCCCTGCCCTTCCTGTTGGGGCTGTGTCGGTAGAATGAGGGGCAGCAGCTGCTTGGGGGCTGTGTCCGTCAGCACTGGCAGCCTAAACGTAGGTGACAAACCAGAAAACAGTTTGGGGCAGACAGAACCTTCGCTACCAGGAATCTTGATGTGCCAGGACCATCTTTGGGAGTTTCTAAGTGAACAGTCTAGTAGTGTCCCACGGCTCAATGTTAGCATCTGTTTTGGGGGAAATGTGTTTCTTATCTTGCTGTGTGGTAGCCAATAAATCCTCCACTTAATAACCTGATGTACATTTTGGAGTGCTTCCTGTGCTGGTGGTTTTAGCTTTCTGTAGCATCCTTTTGCCATTAGGATAATGTGTTTTTCTATTTTAAACACCATGTTTCCCTCTGTGTGGGGATGTGTGGGTCTACCAGAGCTTGCTGTTCTCCCTCTGGCCCCTCAGAAAGATGCTGTATGCTGAGGCTAGTCACAGAAATCTCTGGGCCCTCACACCCCTTCCTCTCTTCCCCTACATCACAACACCCTCAGCTGCCCTGTAGGTAATGCCCTTGGGTCAGCCTGCCACCCATTAAGCCGATTCCTGGGAGGACGGAGACCACCTGGTTCTTGTTCCCTGCCATGTTCCCATCAGCATGGCTCCTAGGAGGCCCTTGCTAAATGTAACTGAATTCACGAGTGAGTGAATGTGGACCCTGGGAAATGATGTCCCTTGGCCTGTTTTACCTTTCAGTTTCTTTCTGCCCCCTTCCATTTCCATCAGAGCTCCTCATCTGGATGAGAAGTACTCCCTTGCATGGCGGCACCCATCAGTGCCATGAAAGAAAGGCCCGGCAATCTGGTTCCATAAAGATTACAGTTAAGAAAACCCTTGGAACAGTTCTACTCTGTAACACGTGGGGTCACCATGAGTTGTAGTTGACTCGAAGGCAATGGGTTTAGTTTTTTTTGGTTATTGTAAACAAATCATAAATAACCATAAAGAATTAAAAAATTGAAGGATAAAGGACCAAAAATCAAATAGAAACATAAGAAAAAAACATGAACAGAAAATTCACAAAAAAGATATAAAAAATGGACCTCAAACATATGAAATATACTCAAATTCACTCAATTAAAAAATGCTAATTAAAACAACACTGAAATACCATTTCTTATATACCAGACTGGCAAAATTAAAAAAAATATATGACAACACATTTTGTTTATGAGGCAGTGGGAAACACGCGTTCCTGTACATTGCTGGTGGGAATGCAAATTGGTATGACCATTCTGGAAGGAAATTTGGTAAAACCTAACAAAACTACACAGGCCTTTGCCTTGTGATCCAACAATCCCACTTATAAGATCTAACATACGTTTGCAACACTATTGAAATACACACGCATAAGGTTATTTATTGTAGCATCGTAATTGCAAAATACCGGAAACATGTATTTTTCACATTTTCTATGTATTTGACAGTTTCTAGATATGAGTGCAACAGGAAAGTCTCTCATGGAGCTTATATATTCTAATACGGGAAATAGAAAAGGGATGGTGTGTTGTTCCTAGGTGCCATCAAGTCAGTTCCTACTCATAGCTACCCAACGTACAATAGAAAGAAACACTGCCTGGTCCTGCATCACCCTCACAATCATTGCCATGTTTGAGCCCACTGTTGCAGCCACTGTGTCAGTCCAGCTCGTTGAGGGTCTTCCTCTTTTTCGCTGACCCTTTACTTTATCAAGCATGATGTCCTCCAGGAACTGGTTCCTCCTGATAACAGGTCCATAGTATGTGAGACGAAGTCTCACCATATTTGCTTCCAAGGAGCATTCTGGCTGTACTTCTTCTAAGGTTGTGTTATCTGCATATCGCAGGTTGTTAATGCAGTATCCCCTTGTTCTGTTCAAACGACTGCCTCTTCGTCTACGTACAGATTCCTCATGATCACGATTAAGGGTTCTGGAATTCCCGTTCTTTTCAATGCTATCCATAATTTGTCATGATCCACACAGCCAAATGCTTTTGCATAGTCAGTAAAACACAGGTAAACATCTTTCTGGTATTCTCTCCTTTCAGCCAGGATCCATCTGACATCAACAATGATATCCCTTGTTCTACGTCCTCTTCTGAATCTGCCTTGAATTTCTGGCAGTTCCCTGTCAATGTACTGCTGCTACCATTTTTGAATTATCTTCAGCAAAATTTTACTTGCGTGTGGTGTTAATGATCTCACCACTTGTCTGTCAGTTTGTCTTAACTCTGGTGGCTTGTGTATTGCTGTGATGCTGGAACCTATGCCACCAGTATGTCAGATACCAGCAAGGTCACCCATAGTGGACCAGGGCTTGAACTGTTTGTTCCAGTTGGAATCCCTGCTAAGAATTTGCATGTCTAACAAGTTCCCAGGAAGTTATTCATAAGAATCACCTGGGGATCTTGTTAAAATATAGATTCTGTTTCAGTATATCCGTGATGGAAATGCAAATTCTCAGCAGGGATTCCAACTGGAACAAACGGGTTCGAAGCCCTGTGGTGGACAGGTTTCAAGTACCTAGAAGAAGCTGGTGTGGCTTGGCAGCTGTGGCCAAGGGGTAGAGGGATATAAGGTGAGGCCAGAGGGAGAGTGAGGGGTGAGCTTGTAGGAGCTTGGTATGGCCTTTGGATTTTGAGTGAGACAGGAGTCGTGGAGGGAATTGGGCAGATGAGTCATGAAGAGACTTGGGTTTCAACAGGCGCCCTCTGGTGTCTGGGTGGAGCATAGGCTGCAGGGGAAGGGGGCGGAGCTAGGAGACTGGGAGGAGACTGGCATTCTCCCCCATCTGGGGCAGGATGAGTGTGGTAACTGGAAGGAGGAGGGAAGAGGTTGGATTCCCCATCCATTGTGAAAGCAGAGCTATGGATTGAATGAGGGATGAGAAAGAAGAAAGAGAAGTCAGGATAACTTCTACATTTGGGCTTCAGCTAGTCAGTGGATGGTGGAGTCATTCCCCAAATGGGAAATGTTGGGGGGCGCAGGCACTGGGGGGAGACCAAAAGTTCTGCTTTGGTTTGGGGATGAGCTTAGTATTTTAATGATCAGAAAAGAATGAATAAAGTTTAGAAGCGTAAAGAAAAAGAATGAGCTCGCTTTTTCTACCTCTGGAATCCTCCACCCAAGTTGCTGTCTGGGCCCTGCGTAGTACAATGCCACAGGTCTGGTTGTCTTAGCACCTCTTAATCCTCACTGTGACAGCTGAAGTGGGTCTTAAGGATGCCGGTCATGGCTAAGCTGGGATGTGGAGAGGACAGGAAGCCCCCCAGGGACCCTTCCCTGGGCCAGGCACTGACGGGAGCCATCACACCTCACCTCACAAAGCCACTCTGACTTTACAGATGAGGAAACTGGGGCTCAGAGAGGTGGAGCTAGTTGTCCAAAGTCATACAGCCAGTAGGTAGCAGGGCTTGGGTTAGCAGATTGGTTCCTGTGCCTGACAAGCCATAGGTTTGACTGCTGTCCACACCCCCCACCCCATTGTGGTCCCAGATCCACCACTTCTGCCCATAGCCACCTTCCTTGTGGACATCATGGTGGGAAGGATCTGCTCAGTCAGGGTGTCCACCCCGGTACTGTCTAGAGGCAGCACAATGAGCCGTAGCCTGGGTGGTGTCTTCTAGCGGGCACTGGTGCCTCCAGCCCCCCTGCAGAGATGTAATGAGTGCTGGGGGGCTATTGTATATGTGAGGATGCCTGGGAAGACCTCCAGAGCCCAGTTCCCCTACTGTCTGGGCTCTGGCTGGCTCTGGCCCCATGTGATGCTCTGGTTGTCCTTTCTCCTCAACCCCAGGGCCAGGGAATCCCCCTGGATGACCTGTTAGAGTTGGGGGTCTAAGGAGGTAGGAGAGACGCTCACAGAGCTTGTCCATCTCTGAGGAGGCACTGGGAAAAACAGCGTCTGTTCCAGGGGTGGCCTCCTCCAGCTCAGCTTCTGGCGATTGGGGTCCTGGTGTCAGGCAGAGCTGGTTGGGGACAGTGACCAGGGGCTGCCCCCCACTGCTACCGGAGGGGGCGACCACCTCATCCAAGAGTGGTCTCTGGGCTGGGGCTGGGTCCTGGAGTTGGTTTCCCTGTAGGCTGCTCAGGGGAAGGTCCCTGGGGAACAGGGGTGTCCGGTGCAGGACAAGGTCACTGTAGCAGGTCATGAACTCTTCACTGTATGAGCGAGTGCTGGCACAGCACTGGTGGCCCAAGGGGAATCGGGGATCATTGCAGGGACCATTGGGGGCTGTTGAGGCCTCAGGTGGGATCAGAAGCATAGGCAGAGAATGCTGAACTTCAGTGCCCTCGGCAAGGGCCCTCTCAGACCCTGCCCCTTCTGAGGGGCCTTGCTGCGGTTCCCCTAAGCCTGGGCCTGGTTGGGTGCCCTTAAGCCAGTTGCGGGCCTTCCCCAGCCCTCTGTCTGAGCCGCGCCTGCAGAGGGGCTTGGCAAGTCTCTCTATGCTCGGCCCACGGACCTGCTTGCCTGAGGTTCTGACAATGGCCTCACACGCAACTCTCGTCAGGAAGATCTCAAACACCATCTGCTTGGCGTCCTCCTCGCTGATGGGCTGGACCAGCAAAAACTCAGCCTCAGAGGTGGCTGTGTAGCCCAGCCTGCCCAGAATGGCGTCCAGTGCATTTTTGGAAAGCACAGGCTGCACCCAGTAGGTAAAGCTCCCAGTGTATGTCTGGAACAAACAAGGGTATTTGTGAGAGGTGGGACACGCTTCAGCAGAGTGGCCGAGAGGGGCCAGGCCAGCCAGGACTGAGGCCAGATGCTCGGAGGCACTGGGGTTGAAGGCATCTGGCCAAAGGAAAGACTGGCCCACAGTCATGTTACCCTCTGTCCCATTTTACAGAGGCCCAGAGTCAGGACAGGGCCTGTCTTAAATCACACAGCAGGAGAGTGACAGATGGGGTGAGGCCCTTGGTATCCTGGCTCCCAACCTAATGTGTGAGGCCTGCAGCCAGAAGAGATTAAAGCCCCCCAGTGGTTTTTCCAAGCCCCTGTTGCCTTCTTCACACCCACCTTGCACCTCCCACCTCTGTATCACTAAGCTCTAGTTTACTCACCCCCTTACCTTTGAAGGCCTTGACCACACCAAGTCCTTTCCCACCTCAGGGTCTTTGTACTTGCTGTTCCCATGTCTGGAATACCCTTTTGTTAGCTTTTCCCTTAACAGCTTCTATTTCTTTAGATTTCAGCTACAGCCTCACCTCCCCAGTGAGGCCTGTTGTTTACTTGTTCATTGTCCATCTTTTCCCTGAGGCTGTGAGTTCCAGCGACATCCCCAGCGCCCACTCCAGAGCCTAGCACACAGTAGGAGCCTAAGAATTTGGCTTTCAGAAACCGTATGCTTGGCATGACTGCCTGAGCTCCTTGGTTCCTTCTCTCTTTAGAGAGACAGTACAGCCTAATGGTTAGGAGCCGCACTGCCTGGGTTTGAGTCCTGGCTGTGCCACTTACTAGCTGCTGACCACAGACAAATTGCATGAACCTCTCTAGTCCTCAGTTTCTCCAACTATAAAATGGGACCAAAGTCAGCGGGCATGAAGGACATGCTGCTCCCCACAGAGGTAGAGTCCCACCCCCAACTGAGCCCAGCTTACTCAGGGGCATGACAGTGCCTACCTTCAGGGACCTGATTTCCTTCCTCCAGGGGAACAGAAGCAAGTTGACAGAGATCAGCTCCAGGAACTCTAGTGCCCGTACCAGCTCAGGGTAGATGTCCTGGGCAGGGCTGGGGTCTCCCCGGGGGCAGCCCCTAAGACCAGGGCCCATGTCCTCAGACAGATGGAGCCCCAGAGGGGCCCCTGTATCCAGGAGCTGCTGGGCCCTGTGGGTAAGGGCTGCCTGCCTGCAGACCCCGAGCAGTCCCTCCCCTGCCCCTTCCCAGTAGTAGCTGATGAGGTCGCCCAGGAGGGTCTCCACAGCAGCCCTGCCTGGGCCTGGGGGCTGGGGCCTGCTCATGGCAGCTCTGAGGGGCTGGATGCTCAGGAGAAACTCCTGTAGGCCTCCTCAGGCCAGGCCTAGGCTGACCACTTGGAGGAGTGGATGGCCGTCCGTCCGTGCCCCAGCGCTCAGTGAGGAAGCCGAGGAGGAAGTGTGCTAGCAAAAGTGAAACTGCACAGCGGCCCTGCCTCTGCCTGCCACCCGGAGGGCCGAGGGCATGGGGCCCTGTACCCGAGCTCCCAGTGGAGCAGGGCCTGTGTGAGACTGTCCCTGCTGTGTCCCAGACGCAGAGGGAGAGCCAGGCACATCTTTGCAGGCATCCTTCACATACCCATCGGCCTCAGAGCTCTGGCCGGTTCCCCGCCCCATCCCTTAGCCCTCCCTGACGTCACCTGCTGAGGCTCTTTATGCCTCCTGCTGGAGTGTTCTCTAGCAGCTGGAGTAGGCTCTGCAAGTGCCTGACAGCGCCCAGGGGCAAGCTCAGCCAGAGAAGGACCCATGGGGGCCGCAGGTTGGCGGGCAGAAACCCCGCTTCCTGCCTCTGGGTGGGACAGTTCTGAAGTGTGTTCCTCATGGTCTCTCAGAGGTTCCCCAGTGGAGGTCGGCCCCCAGTTGTCCACAGCAATAACCCGCTCACTAACGCACTTTGTTGGCTCTTCTCTCTTGTCTTAATCCCTATCCCCCTGCCACGCTTCCTGGGATCACCTCCCAAATAAACTATTTATACCCAAATCTTGTGTCAGGGGCTGCTTTGGGGGAACCCAGACTGAAACAACCTCCTATCCACTCTCCCATCTCCCGCCCTTCTTCCTCCTTTCCTTGCCTCCCTTCCTCCCTTCCGTTACTCTGTCTTAATTAATTGATGACTCACTCGCTCATTCAACCACACAGTCGCTCACCCCTTCCATCTGGTTCAGCATGTGTCAGCGTGTGCGCTGTAGAAGAGCTCTTGTCTTGTGTTCTTCATTAGTCTCATGGGAGTGAATCCATTTGGGAAACCCTGGGCTAAGGGTCACTGTGAGTCAGAATTGGCTTCACGGCAATGGGTTTTTAGGCTAAGTATGGTTCCTCTGGTGTAGTGGTTAAGAGCTCAGGCTGCTAACCAGATAGACCGGCAGTTTGAATCCACTAGCTGCTCCTTGGAAACCCTATGGGGCAGCTATACTCTGCCCTGTAGGGTTGCTATGAGCTGGAATCAACTCGACGGCAACAAGTTTGATTTTGGGTTTATGGTCCCTCTGGCTTCCTGGCTGCGAGACTTCCAGACCACGTAGCCGGCTATTATGGATTGTGAATTTCATGGATGGGGCAACGTGAGCTGTATTCTTACCTTTCTGGGCCTTGGGTCCCTTTTAATGCCCATGTCTGGTGTTTAGGGACCTGCTAATGACACTATCTTTGAGTAGCCAGCCTGTGTCCTGTCATGTGCTGGCCAAGGGGCTTCAGGGGCCAATGAGATATTGTCCCTGCCCTTAGGTTGCCCACAGCCTGGGGAGCAGCCCTGAGGGTAGGAGGTTGCTGTGACCTGGTCCTTGACCATCATTTGTTTTCTGTGAGACTGCTGGCCTCCTGCCCCTCCACTCACCAGAAGGGCATCTGTGGCACCCCCTGTCCCATGGGGCCCTGATGAGCCCTAGCCTGAGCCCCGGTGCCTGGGTATTCTCCTCAGTCCTTCCCCTGCAGGCTCCTGGCTGAGAGGAGGCCAGTCTCCTTGGAGGAGTGTGCATATACGGACACCACAGCAGAAGGTGCATTGTAGCTGGAGGAGGCAGGAAAAGCCGAGAACCCGCAGTGGGATCCTCAGTCCTTTTGTTGTGGGAGCTGGGGGTCAGTGTGGGGTGGAGTAAGGTTGGAGTCAGCATGGGGCTAGGCACTGTCACCATAAATGTCACTACATTTATTCCCAGAGCACAGAGGTGGCACCTCAGCCTTCTGCAGTGGTGTTTCAAACCAAACCAAACCCATTGCCGTTGAGTTGATTCTGACTCATGGTGACCTCATGCGTTAAGAGTAGAACTGCTCCACAGGGTTTTCTTGGCTGTAATCTTAACGGAAGCAGATTGCCAGGCCTTTCTTTCACAGCATCTCTGGGTGGGTTTGAATCGCCAACCTTTATGTTAGCAGTCCAGCGCAAACCATTTGTGCCACCTAGGAGAGCTCAGGCTGCTAACCAGAAGTCAGCAGCTTGAATCTAACAGCTGCTCCGTGAAAACCCTATGAGTCAGCTCTACTCTGTCCTGTAGGGTTGCTATGAGTTGCAACTGACTCAGTGGCATGCAGCAACAACAAGGGACCTCTTAGGAGGACAGAGGGTGATCATTTTGCACGCAGAGAGGGACACACAGACATCAGGCTGTAGCCAGAGAGAGCTGCTCAGGAGAGCAGGGGCTATTCCTGAAAATGGAAGGCGTGAGTGGCTTCAACCTGCAACATCCCTAGGGTGGGAGTCAAGCCCAGGAACAAAATGAAAAGTTTTGTCTACAGCGAGGAGTGTCTGTGGGTTTGAAAGTGGGAGAAAGGAGCATCCTCGTTCTTCAGTGGCTGACTCCAGTTTGCCGTGAGTAGTGGCGGCAGGGAGCTGGCATGTGGCAGTGAGGACTTAGAGGGGTGGTAGGCCAGGACAGCTGGCCTCAGTCCCTCTGCTTGGTGGTGCTCTGGGGCTGGTGGATGGGGAGGAGCTCTGCTTCCCTATCTCACAGTCATTTTCCCCTGCTGCACCCTCCTCAGGACGGCACCCCACTTCAGGGTGGTGGGGAAGGATTCTAAACACTGCTAGTGGAGTTGAGTTCTAGAGGGAGGGAGGGTGACAGAGGAAGGGACCCATGCTCAGTCTTGAGATCAGTGGCTGAAGCCAGGGCCTTCTGAAGGTCACGGAAAGGAAGAAGAGAATTTACATAGGGGGAGAAAACAGCTCATTCCGGTCTAATTACAAACTTCCCCTCCTGCCATACTCTTTCCTGGTAGTAAAAGCCATTAGTGCTGAAAGCCACCTGCTCTGAAAGTAAAGTGTGCAGTCCCTGATGTCCCTGGAGTCAGGTTCTGAAGTTTATGGCTCATCTTGGTGACAGCGATGCTGGCCAAGTCTTGGAGAAATGATGGCATGTTGCAGGGAGGGTAAAACGAAGAAAGTAACTTCTGTAAGTCACTGAATACCCAAATACTCACGTCAACAGGAAAACGACAGCGCTTTGGATGGCTCCTAATCTTGAGAGAAGTAATAGGAAAGGATTGCTAAACCAGCGGCCGCCAGTTCCAACTCACGGAGACGCCCTGTGTGTCAGAGTAGAACTGTGCTCCACAGGGTTTTCAAGGGCTGACTTTTTGGAAATAGATTTCCAGGCCTTCCAAGACACCTCTGGTTGGACTCGAACCGCCAACCTTTTGGCTAACAGCCACACAGTGTTAACCATTTCCATCACCCACAAGCTCTAGATGGAGGCATATATTTAGTTTGCTGCTGTTTGGTGTTTCCTTTCTTCACAAGTTTCAGATGACATGAATCCCTAAGCACTCTTGATAATGCTACTTCCTGCTACATTTTTATTGATACAGTGTATCTATTTTGAACACAAAGAATACATGGTTGCTTATTCAGCGCCTAGTCCAGGAACAAGAAAAGCTGTTCAGCTCCATCCCTCAAACACTGATGAGTAGGTAGGGATTTTTTTATTTTTTTCTCAGCACTTTTAAGAGTTGCAGAAGCAAGATGCATTTCTTACAAGAGTCTCATCCCTGGCGTGCATGTTAAAGGCTATACAGTACAACAGACATTTTTTTTTGCCTAGAAAACAGTACACCACAAAGGTGGACAGAATTGCTTGTAAACAAGGTCCCTCCCCCAGCTGGAGCTGGGTGCTGCAGGATGTGGGCACTCTCGAGTCTACAGGAGTCTCTGGATGGAATCTGTTCAGTTCTGCACCAGAATAAATTGTTTCTACAGAAAATACATCTTAACGTGGCCATCTCTGCCGCCCCTCTGCTCAAGGAAAACCAAAACCAAACCAAATCCGTTGCCTTTCAGTCAGTTTCATCTCATGGTGACCCCACGTGTTACAGAGTAGAACTGCTCCATAGGGTTTTCTTGGCTGTAATCTTTATGGAAGCAGACTGCCAGGCCTTTCTTCTGTGGAGCCGCTGTGTGGGTCTAAACAGCTAACCTTTAGGTTAGCAGCCAAACACAAACTGCTTATGCCACCAGGGCTCCTTAGCTTAGGAAAGGGATTGCTAAATTGCCTTAGCCCTTTATTGGAGGAATTGAAATGTGGGGGAGAGAAGGGATGGGGACGATGCTGTTTAAAGATGCGTGACAACAGGTGGGAGAGGGAAGGTGGGCAGGGGGACTCTGGCTCCCTGTGGCTGGCAATGCCGGCTGGAACACTCCCCAAAGGTGCTTGTCCGCCACCCTCTTGGCAGGCTGGGTCTTCAGGAGTCCTCTCTACCTGCATGGTCTCTGATGGAAATTTCTGGAATTCATGGGCCAAGATCTGCGCCTCTCTGCAACCAGGCAGACCCCACATATCCCCTCCTGTGGCAGGGCCCTGACATGCAGGCTGAGACACACCTCTGGTCCTCTGGTGGTGGTGTGGCGGTATGCAGGGGGCTCACATTCCCCTTATTTTGTCTCTGCAAACACCCTGAAGGGACAAGACCTGCACAGGTCGACTCACAGTTCCCAGCTGTGAGCCACCCAGGAGGACAGCACCAGCTCCCATGGTTTGGCTCCATTTAAGGTCAGGCCACAGTGGTCGCTGGGCACATACTGAGCGAAGTGCCCTTTCTCTGCCTGGGAGCCACGCATAGGCAGCACCACAGCTTGGCCACCTGTCTTCTTTAGAGACCTCAGTTCTGGGCACTGCAAGTGGCTAGACTGGCTTGGGAATAGCTGTAACCCACTGCCACCACCACACACCTTATAGCTTGGGGCGGGGGCTTCTGCGATAACTCCGCTAGCACCACCAGACTGAGGGTACTGGGTTAGGGAGGGGGCCAGGTGGGCTCTGCGGGCCACAGACCCATGTCCCCCACCCGTAAGTGGCAGGACGGTGATGTGGCTCTTCTGCCCTGGAATGGAGAGAGAGGCACAGCACACAGCTGCCCCCTCACGGAGGCTGCCCCACCTCTCCCGAAGGACAAGCAGGCCCCCGGGGTGGGGGTGGGGGCAGGCAGCTGACCTAGGGCGGTTGAGCAGTTTCTGGAGGCAGAGCCAGAGTTTGGGCATGGCCTGCCGGGCGAGGACAGGAGCAGAAAGGCGCAGGGAGAGGGTCCGAGCAGCCAGGGGGATGGGAGAAAGCCCCACTCCCTTGTCACCTCTCCTGCACCCCAAGCGCTGCCTAGAGAGGCACAGCCAACAGGCTGGGGAGGAGGAGATTGCGGCTGGGAACGCCATTTTTTTAACAAAACCTTCACAGGTGAGTTTTGTGTGGGTGCGGTGGGCTTGTGGGTGTGTACGTGTCTACACACATGCGAGGCATGTCTGGCTATGTCTGTGTACATGTTTGTACGTGTATATCATGTGTCTAAATCACGTACATGTGTGTGCATGGGGTGTCTTGTGTGCGTGCCTGTGTGTGCCTGAAGGGTGCACTGGCAGGACCTGGCTGCCGGGGTTGCTCACACAGTCCTCTGTGGGCCGGAGGCTGGGGCCCGGGTTGGGGCGGCTGAGCTCTTGGGTCCTGGTCCTGGTCCTAGCAGTGGCAGCAGGCCCGACGGCGGGCTGGCCCCACACACAGCCTCGTAAGGGGGCAGGGTGTCCGTGGAGATGGTGCAGAGGCCACTCTGGTGCCAGGTCCTCTGCACCTGCTGGTGTTGGCCAGGGCTATGGCCACTGCCTCTGTCGAGGGGGCCGTCCAGCGCTGGGCAGGAGTCGGTCAGCGAGTAGGGCGGTGGTGCATCCGTAGGGATGTACAGCTGAGTGGCCCCTGGCCCCACACACTCCTCGTAGCTAAAAGAGAAGAGGCTCCCTCAGGGCCCTGTGGAGCCTGGGCCTTAGGGGGCTTTTGGGGGTGTCTTCCCAAGGGCTAGGGCCTATCTGCGGTAAGAAGCTGCCCTGGTCCCCAGGGAGGGCCTTGTCCACACTGGCTCCAATGGAACTACTGAGACCTGGGTTCTGCCCCAGCTCAGCTTCCAATGGCCTTTGGGAACTCAGGGAAGCCCTGACATTCCTGGGCCTCAGATTCCTTAACACAGTAGTAGTCAGTGCCCTTTATGGAGCTTCTGCCAGGCCAGCGCTGGGCTAAGGTCTATAAGTGAGTTGGTGGGTGGGTGCCAGTGGAGAGCTACCTTAGGCTCAAGTTACCCCAAAGCGGCCCTTCTAGGCTCAGGAAATAGTCCCCAGATCCCTGAACTCACAGACACAGGGCAGGGAGGCATCCACTGCCCCAGGGCCCAGAGGGCAGGGTATAGAGGATAAAGGATGATGGGGGCAAGTGGCTATTTGTCCAGGGGCTGAGGGATCTCCTGGTGGGGAAGTGATGGAGGCCCCAACCTTTCCCTTTTGAAGTACTAACCGGCAGGAGAGGACCCCAAGGGCCCCAGAGAAGAACTCCCCAAAAGGACACGCCTGGTATCACAGGGACCTGTTGGGCTGAGAGGGATGAGGAGGTGGCTATGCCCAAGATGTTTCCTGCATTTATACCATTTGAGGAGGTGGTGCTATTTCCCACGGTGGGGGTCTTTGCCCCCCGGCCCCCCATGCCGTCCTCCCCCACGTGGCCTCCTTACCCTGGTGGAGAATCTGGGTACAGCTCTTGGAGAACCGTGGCATCCATGTCCCCATCAGAGCTGAGGTCCAAGGGTGGGGGCCAGTCCTCGTCGAGGCTGCAGGCATAGCGCATCCTGTGGCTCGAGTGGCTGTATGTGTGCCCCTCGGACACTGCAGGGAACGGCCCATCAGCCTGGGCCTCAGGCCAGCACCCAGGAAGGATCCTCAGGGGTCTAGCTGAGGCTACCAAGGCTCTGATCTCCCCACCTGACCATTACCCCCTCGCCAAGCCACAGCCCTAGAAGGTGAGGGCCAATGCCATGCTGGACTTGGGCCGCAGAGAGGAGACAGAGCTGCCCCTGCTCTGGCGGGGCTCCCAGGGTGGCAGGGAGATGACCCTGGGGACATCCCGGTACCAGGTGGTGTATCGTGAGCTTTGACAGAGGAAGCAATGGGGCTGTAGGAGCAGAGCCTGGAGGTGAGGAGGGCTTCCTGGAGGAAGAGCTGCCAGAGCTGAATATTATCTAGGAATTGGCCATCAGAAGAGGGACAAGCCAGGTGGAGCAGCTAGAGCCAAGGAAGGAGATTAAAAAAAGAGTGCCATGTGGACAGGAAGCTTCAAGCTGGGGCATGAAAAATTGTGAGGAGGGTAGTGGGGAATGGGGGCCGCAGAAGGTGCTGGTCAGGTCTCCCCCTCCCCCACCATTCCCTTTAGGCATCCCAAGGAAAATAAGGGCTTCTGTGGTGAAATAAATTTGGTCGTCCACTCCACATACCAAATTCTTCCCCGAGGTTTTTTACCACAGATTAGCACATCAAAGGCTCTGAAAAGTCCTGCAGCTATGAAACACAGGCAGCTCTGTCCAGCATTTGATCTCAGAATCTTATTTTCTTAGACCTAGTAGGACTTGCTGATGAAGCACAAACTTCCCATTGGAGAGCTGAGGTTCAGAGACGTCCAGTGGCTTGCCAGAGGCCACACAGCAAGTTAGCAGTAGGGAGGACCAGGGGGCAGCCGGATGTCCTGGCTCCTCACCCTTTAAGCCTCTACCTCCCTGTTCCTAACATGTCTGGTCGTGGGTGGGGAACAGTGTGAGCTGCAAAGATGTTTGATACAGAAGGTCTCCCCACCCGCAATGGGCACCCAGGTGGCTCCTCCCCACACGGGGCAGGACTCAACATCAGAGGTGGGGCTTGACATCAGGAGTGGGGCTCATGACCTCTCTTTGAAGTCGGTACCATGGTTGCCACTCCCATTCTACAGATGAGGAAGCTGAGGCTCAAGGTCACATACCTGAATCAGTGTGGAGTTGGAATTCATGCATTGTCTATATAACCCCAGTGACTGCTCTTTCCAATCCCCTAATCTCCTTTTCCCACTCATGAAACCACCGTGAGTGGGAAAGTGTGGATACAAAAATGTACCTTAGGTATAATCCTAGGTTTATCTATGGACATGGAGAAAACCTGGAGAAGAAAATAGTCCAAACACGTTAACAGTGGCTCTGTCTGGATGACAGGATCATGACCCCTATTTCTTTCTTTATATTTTCTGTATTTTTAAGGTTTTCCCACAATTAACACATATTGCTTTTCTACTAGGAATAATGAACCCAAAAGCATATGCTGTAAAAAAGGAAGTGAAATGAGATTTGTTTCCCTCCAGGGCACCAGCTGAAAGATGAGAATTTTTGAAAGAACTTCAAGGAGAAACTCAAGGAAGATGAAAGCACAAAATAGCAGGCTGAGGCCAAAAGTTGAGCCAGGGCCTCTGGGCTCTGGTGCCAGGGTCCTGGCCCTGCCAGTGTTGCCAGCAAAGGGTCCTTGGGCTCTGGGGAGGGTCCTACCTGCAGCACAGGAGGTTGGGGCTGTCCCACCGGTTATCCCTGGGTAACACTAAGGCTGTTTCCTGGGTCTGTGTGGGTGGCTCTGGCAGGCAGGCTGAGAGCCGACAGGACTGAACTAAACTGCTGTCCACTCTCTCTCCATGGGCTGCTTTTCCTTGGGCCTTCAGAGGCTGAGTATTGGGGGGAACTGAGGTACCCTACACCTACCTCAGCCCCAATCCTGAGATGACCAAGGTCAGTCCCAGATAACAGCTGGGCAGAGCTCCTGAGGAACAGCTGGGAAGACCCCTCCTTGCCCCCTTTGATCTACTCAGATTTCTTTTTATCCTTTCTCCTCTCCTGATTTCCATACCAGCACAGACCCACATGGTCCAGGACTCCAGGAGTCCCCCTTTCCACTTCATGGAAGGTGAAATCTCCCTATCCTCCTCTTTACCAAAATTAAGCAATGCCTTGGTTCATTGTTTAACCCAAATCCAAGGTTACTGCCCCTTGGCAGGCCTTGGGAGAGGAGGAGGAGAACTTGCATCCAGGCAGCAGCTCACCGTAGCTGTGCTCCAACTCTGGGGGTCGATAGCGCCGGTGGTGGTGACGGTGGTGGTGTCGGCGGTGGTGGCGGTGCTGCTGGACCCGGGCCTGCCTGTCCTTGCGGATGCTGCCAACGATGATGGTGATGCAGGAGAGGATGATGACCACCCCTATGACTGCACTTGCCACCAGCACAGGGGACACGAGCAGATGGCTGTGCTCCAAGTTCTCTGAGAATGTGGAGTAGAAGTAGTTCGTGCGGTTGTATCGAGCTGCTGTGGACAGAGAGCAAGGGCACTGAGCTGGGGCCCAGGCTGTGCCACACACCTTCTTCCTCAACTCCTTCTGCCCTGAGAGTTACTTATCACTAAGTAAGTGGAGGCTAGCCTGTGGTCAGATCCATGGACTCTATCCTGGCTCTTCTTGCCTGGGAGGAGGGGAGCCCAACTCATCCCACTGCCTACAGGAGCCTCTGGTAGCTAGGGCTGACCTCTGCTCCTCTCCTGTGAAGCCTTTATCCCCAGAAGCTCAACTGACTCACAGATAGGGAAAGGGAAGCTCAGAGAGGGCAATGGACTTGCCCAAGGTCACACAGCAAATTAGTGGCAGAGCTGAGGCTTAAGCCCAAGACTTAGTGCCAGACAAAGACTGTACTTCACCAAGATATGACATTGCAAGGCCAACATGACTTTACCAAGGTCTTGGGAAGGGGCAGGAGATACACAGGGGGATAGAGTGTGAGGACCAACTCTCCTGGCCTCCTGCCTCGGGAGGGCTATGGCGGCCACGGACATAGACATGTTGAAGGGTTGGGTGAGATCAGGGAAGACTTCCCAGAGGAGGCAAAACTGAGAGGATCTTGGAGGGTGAGAGCTCAGTGAAGGGAGGGGGAGGCACTCTAGACGGGGAGAGCAAAGGCAATGAAGTGTGGGAGATTTCCAGGGAGGAGTATGGGTGGCAGGAGCATGTTGTTGTTGGGTGCTGTTGAGCTGATTCTGACTCATAGCGACCTCATGTGACAGAGCAGAACTGCTCCATAGGGTTTTCTAGGCTGTAATCTTTATGGGAGCAGATCTCCAGGTCTTTCTCCCGTGGAGCCACTGGGTGGGTTCAAACTGCCAACCTTTCCATTAGCAGCTGAGCACTTAACTGTTGGGCCACCAGGGGCTAGAGCATGGGGAGGGTACAAGAGCCTCCTGAAGGAGTAACAGCTGGGCCCCTGAGAGCCCTAAGGAAGGAACCTCCTGGGATCCTTGGTTACTTTGTCATCCTACAGGATAAGATGATGCGGTGCTGTGGGCTGGGCTTTCCGGGGGAGGGTCAGAGATCAGCTAGGTGCAGCCAGGAGCACCTGCTGCCTCGCTCAGGGAGAGCCACCGCACCTCATTAGCGAGGGCCTTGGAGCTACTTAATTCTCCAATTCAGCTGGGCAGGGATGTCATGTTCCCCTTTTACAGATGCATAGACTGAGGCAGCAATAGAGAAAAATCCATGAAACCAAAAGCTGGTTTTTCAAAAAGATCAGCAAAATTGACAAACTTTTAACTAGACTGACCAAGAAAAAAAAGAAGACGCAACCGACTAGAACCAGAAATGAAAAAGGGGACCTTTAAAAATTGTGGTAAACGATATATAACAAAACATTTGCCATTTCAACCATTTTTACGTGTACAATTCTGTGATATTAATTACATGTGTCATGTGCAGCCATCACCACTATCTGTCACCACTCTGTTAGGGGACTTTTTTTAAAAAGGAAATTTATTTTAATGAAAGACAAGACATTATTTATTCTGACCTTACAGAAATAAAAAGGAGTACAAAGGAATACTACGAACAATTGTATGCCAATAAATTAGATAACTTAGAAGAAATGGACAAATTCCTAGAAAGACACAAACTACCAAAATTATAAAACTCTTAGAAGAAGACATAGGTGTAAACTGTACGACCTTGGATTAGGCAGCGGTTTCTTAGATTTGACACCCAAAACACAAACAACGGAAGGAAAAATGGACAGACCGGACAGCATCCAAATTAAAACGTTTGTACTTCAAAGGACACCGCTGAGGAGATGAAAAGACAAAGAATGGGAGAAAATTTTTGTGAATCATGTATCTCCTAAGGGACTTTATCTAGAATATATAAAGACTTTTATAACTCAATAATAAAAAGAAAAATAACCCGATTAAAAATGGGCAAAGCACCTGAATACACATTTCTCCAAAGGAGAGACAAACGGCCAAAAACCACATGAAAAGATGCTTGCTCGTTCTCTCCTCTCTCTCTTTTTCATGCACACAAGCACGGCTACCTCTTTTTCATCCATTAAATTGTTAAATGTCACCTCCTCAGAGATGCCGCCCCTGGTTGCCCCCACCCCGTTATATGTCATATCATCATCCCATGTACTTCCTTCACAGTACTTATCAAAATCTGTGAATATACTGATCATTTATTTGTTTACTTGTTATTAGGTTTTTGGACTCCTTAAGCTCCCACTAAGGAGCCCTGGTGGTGCAGTGGTTAAGTGCTCCGCTGCTAACCAAAAGGTCGGCAGTTCAACCCCACCAGGCACTCCGCGGAAGAAAGATGTAGCAGTCTGCTTCCATAAAAGATTTACAGCCTTGGAAACACTATGGAATAGTTCTACTCTATCCTATAGGGTCGCTATGAGTTGGAATTGACTCAGTGGCAACGTGTTTGGTTTCTCTGGTAACCTCCCACTAGATTGTGAGCTCCTTGAGGACACATATCCTGTCTGTCCTTACTTGTTAACTGTTTGACTCTGCAGCACCTAGCCCAGTGCCAGGCACACAGTAGGTGCCCAAAAATATTTAATGACTGAGTGAACTGCATAGGCCTTAGTTGGATCTCTGACTGTCACCCCATGAAGCTAGAATTCGGTTTCTTCTCTGCTTTCTGACTGGCTGTGACTCTCTGAGGTTTGGATGAAGTGCCGGCATCTCATTTTTATTCCTTGGGCTGTCAGTTATGCTAAGCTAAAGCTTTCCATTTTTCTTCAAGACTCACAGATAAAAGGTGGTAAAGAGAGGCTCCCTTTCATCTCTTCCTCTCAGGCAAAAGGGATCAGTTTAAATTATTTATCTGGTCTGACCTCAACTTCGGAGAGATCTAGTCCTTCCCTGGTGAATATATAGCATGCCTGCCACCACTTCCCAAGCCTATGCCAATGACAGCCATTACTGATCAATCATGGTCCTCCTTCCTGTTTGGCCCAGAAAGCAGCCTCAGCATCCTTTTCAACACAGCCCTTCACACAGTGACTACAGCTGTCTAGAGCTTGCCATGAGATGAAGCTGCTGCTCATCACTCATCTAGTGTGACCAGTGGCCAATTACCAGGAACTATGGCTTGGAGTGGAGCTAAGCTAGCAGCTACTCTGCTACCATATTCTCTCTAATAAAGTGCAGGCCAGCCATTGATCAACCAAAGTCTCCCTCTCCCTCCCTACTATGCAGCCTCTCACCTGCAAAGCCAAGCGCAGGACTTGGGAGTGTCAGGGATGCCAGCCCTCCTTAGGGAGAGTAGAGTGTGTAGGGTCCACACTACCGTGGAACAGTGGGGCTCTGGGCTAGCCTGTTCAGACCCCAGCTACTGCAGTGGCCTGGTCCACCTCAAGATCCAAGGCAGACATGCCACCAGAGCTGGCCGTGGGCAGGGCTGCACGTGCCCAGAATGACAGTCTGTGGTTGGAAGTGTATGAGTGTGCCCACACCGTAGAGCCTGCTGCAGAGGGGCCAGCTCCGCAGGGTCACCTTGAAGACAACCCTCCCTTCAGGCTCACTGCCAGCCTGGAGCGGGGATGGCCTCACCCGCACGCCTGCAGGTGGAACCAGTTGGCGCAGGCACCCGCCTGCATGGCCGGCTGGGAAATTAATCTCCCAGTCACCACGGCCGGCAGAGGAAGGCAATGTTTTAAATGATGAGGGAAACTCTTCCAATTTCCAAACCCAGGGCCCATTTTATCAACAAGATAAATATGACTTCAGAGAAATAACCTGATGACAGCCCGCCTCCCCACCCCTCTGCCTCCCTGTGCCCCAGCACCAGCTGCGGCAAGGACAGAGGATGAAGCAAGCTTTGCCTCTGCCCTGGAGCTTCTTCCCAAGCAATTTCTACAAAGGTGCTCATGATCAAGTGGAAATGCACCTCAAAATACAGGCTCTTCCCTGAGATGTTGTCTTTCCCCCAATATGCCAGCATGAGTAGCCACCATCTCCTGACCCCTTACTGTGTGTCCCCCCTCCATGCTGGGTACCTCTTATGCACTATATTAGCTCATCTGCGTCTGTCGGCTTGTCCTACTGTAGTGGTTTGCATATTGCTGTGATGCTGGAAGCTATGCCACTGGTATTTCAGTCATGGTGAGCAGATTTCAGCAGAGCTTCCAGACTAAGACAGACCAGCAAGAAAGGCCTGGTGATCTACCTCCTAAAATTAGCCAACGAAAACCCTATGGATCACAAGAGAATATTGTCTGATATAGTGCTGGAAGATGAGCACCCTCGAGGTTGGAAGGTACTCAGAATACACAGTGGCTGCAACAATGGACTTGATCATACCAAGGACTGTAAAGACGGTGCAGGACCGGGCACTGTTTTGTTCTTTTGTACGCCGGGTCACCATGAGCTGGAGCCAACTCAACAGCAGCTAACAACACTTATGATGGCCTGTGATGGGATCCCAATGAACAAGTGGGGAAAATGAGCCTCAGAGAGGTTGAGTAACTTGCCCAAGGTCACACAGCCCCATACAGAGGAACCTGGGTTTACGGGAAGCTGAAACCCTGTGCTCTTAGCCAAGATGCTATTCTGTGACTACCAAGCACTGTGGGCTGGGAGCTCATATAGTTGGGATCTCGCTGAAGTAAAAGATGCTCCTCTTTATAAAACGATGGTTTGCTTCTTCTAGGCCACTTTATATGCAGTCAGAGCAGGCCAGGACCTGGAGCTTACTCAGGAGGAAGGCATATCAACAGCTGAACATTGCTAAGACACCAAGATTCCCGAGAAGAGAGCTTGAGTGTCTCAGAAAAGACAGCCATGACAGCCACCCACGTATATGGGGGAAACAAACAATCCAGGGCTGGGAGTGAAGGTGGGAGGGGATCCCTATTCTCTATATATTCTATCTAGAGATGTTGTGGGAGATTGTGGGGAAGGGGCCCTTGGGTGACTTCTCTGGAGAGAGAGGAAGATACTAAGGTGGCTCTCACTGATTCAGTACTTGCTATGCATTAACTAGTAACTGG